AGAGCCAGACATCCCTGGTGAATACAAATTCCAACACTTTGAAGAAAGGGCTTCTTTACAGTGTGTGTTTGTGTGTGTTTGTGTGTAAAGCTACAAGCCGTTTCTGCCAGGAAAGCTGAAACTTGGTTGCAGAACCAAAGATACTCCCTAACTGATGTTTCTAAGTCACGATCATCATCCGGAAACCCAATCTTTCTTCCACAATCTCCGCTCATTTTTCTTACCGTTGATTTCGTTACAGTCCAGCATGAGTTAAAAGACATTTGTTTTAACTTAACCTTGTTTGGCACAGCCCTCCCTTGAGAAGCACAACAGAGCCCCTTCTGGATAGGGGGTAATGTTCAGCACGGCAGGAACGACTGCCTGTTTTCCACTCCAACCGGTATGCAAATGGTATGAAAATGAGCAGTAGCCTTCTGCTCATTTCTGGCTTCGTCCTCCTCGTGCTGATTACTCGCCCCGGCTCCATTCCCTTGAAATGGCGCATTGTGCCAAAAGCAGAGGTAGCCCAAGGCTCCTGTTGGATCACACCTGGATGGGAGCAGTTAGAAGGGCAGTATTTCTTTTTTCACTGCTTGATATGCTGCCTCCTCCCTGCCCCAGTTTAGGCTCACTCCTGGAAGCACAAACAAATCTTCATTGGTAATCTTTTTTTTCCCTTGCCTTGCAGCTGTTCAAATCAGTAGCTACGTATTTTTATCGCAAGGATTTTGTGTGCTGTTTTTTTTTTTAAGGTGATTATAGCAACTGTTAACTGGATATTTTTGGGAAAAAAATACATCCACCAAGAATTTTAATTGAACACGTAAGAGATTCCTTGCCTTTAATTGGCATCCTTCCTCCTTCCTTTTCACTTTCGCTTCTTCTCCAAACAGGTGTGACATGGCCCAGATTTCTTTGGGAAAAAGGAAAGTCCTGTGGCGGTTTTAGGACGTCACTGTGTGCATGCTCCCTTTCTCTTCCAAGGATCCGTCACGTGAATGAGCAATAACGACAAAACCCACACAAAAGCTCTCCCTTTGTGTCTTGTCTTTCAGTTCATGCAAAGGGGCTTGGATTCGGAAACCAAAAAACAACTTGAGGAGGAGGAAAAGAAGATAATCAGCGAGGAACATTGGTTTCTGGATCTACCAGAACTGAAAGAAAAGGAGTAAGTTTGCTGCATTGTGGTCTTGGCACGAGCGGGAGCAGATTGGAAGATAAAAGACAGAATTGCCCTCTGAAATTGGAGAGCAAGCTATAGCTTTCTTACTTCCCGCCAAGATGTGGACTAAGCTCAAGTTGCTTGTCTGATCCTCTTTTTAAAACAATGATTTCTTTATAGGAGCCTTATAATAGAGGAAAGAAGCTTTGTGATGTGTGAAGACCTTCGGTATGGAAGAATGTCCTTTAAAGGGTTCAATCCTGAAGTTGAGGTATTATTATCTGGAGCATCCCTTTTGGAATTAACTTACAAATGTTAAAAGTTAAGAAACGTAGCATCCTTGGTTCAAAAGATGTATGAAGTCCCTGATTCAGTTTGTACCAGATTCAAATAACTTGCCCTTTGTTGCTAGATGGGTTGTAATGAATGAACACAGTGAACCCAAAAAACACAGTGTAACGACTTGGGAAAATAAAGCTTAGCCCAGGCTATGCTCATGAAAACCTCAAAGCTTGGATCAAACAGCCAGGGCTTTGCATGCCAGCAAAATAAAACCAGGTTTAGCATGTGTTTGGTGTTTAGACAAAAGGAATTGTGTAATCAGGATGTCACAGCCAATCAAGTATTCTTAGACAGGACACTCTTTTTCTAACCATGTTCCTTGCTCCCAACCCCAAAGACAGATATGATCCTGCATTCATACAGGTAACTGAGAAAATATGTGTGAAGTGTTGTGTATTATCAGGGTATGAACTCTTACAATGGCCTCTTTTGAGTTCAGAGAAGCTGCTCCAATTTTATTGGAAGTGTTGAATCACTCTAAATATCCTGGGAGTGTTTGAAGTCTGTACAGTTCTAGTAAGGTTAGGGCAACTTGATCCTGCACTGTTGCAGGGTATTATACCAGACTCTTGAAAGCCTGGTGGAGATTCTCTTTCCCCCCTCTCATACCAAAGAGAATCAAGGTGGGACAATCTTGAGTTTTGTTCCCACTCCCTCCTCCCTTCCAGGGCTAAGCTGCTGTTTACCTAATAGCTGTTGAATATCTCCTTCAAGGCCATCTCCATACTCCTCCACGAGGGCGTGGATGGACGGATGTTTCTTTTGGTTCTGATGAATTCACTAGGTATAAAAGGAGGGAACACTTATGGGTGGTTCAGTAGCATCTCCTCCAGATCAGCTTCATTCACACAACATGCTTAACCTGGTTCCTGAATTAACCATTTTCTGGGTTTGGACACCACATGAGATATCTCCAGAACTGTTGTTTGGTTTGGAGAGAATTTAACCAGACAGCTGAATTACAGCATTACCTCTGGATATTGACTTTTTAGTGTGTTACATTCTGCCATTGATTGACTGTTTAACAAATAGAGTGTGATAAGAAGCTTTGGTCTCTTGTTCATCTGCGAAAAAAAAATCTCTGAGAGCTGTTTTCATCTCAATCCATCAAGATTAACATATTTATTATAATACATTTATTATCAATAACATTTTTGGGGCATCCTCATTGGGGTGTAACCATCTGTGGATGGGAAGGCATTAGTGGTCTACAAGCCACAAAGGAACATGCCACCATTAACCAGTTAACCATAACAATATTCTGTGGTGCTCAGTGTGATATGAAACTTGGTCCTTCAGCTGAAAAGAAAGTATTGTGGTACTTAATGCCTACATTCCTTGTCCATTCATCTCTCTCATCCTTGCCAAATCTGTCTCCTTGACTTTTTTCAAGGAGCGTAACACTTAAAGTGATATTCCAGTTTTTCATTTTCAGAAGTTAATGATCCAGATGAACTCAAGGTACAAGACAGAAGACATTAAAGAGGAAAAGAATGCGATGGAAGCTGATGTATCAGATGAAGAAATGGCTAGAAGGTAACTCTTCTCCATTATAACACAGAAAACATTGCCAAGATGTGTGTCCCCCCCCCATTCTAAAATGAAAGGCTCCCAAATGGCCAGGCGTTTGATGTTTAAAACACTTGTTTGAAAAGGAGTACTTTATAATAGAAATAAGCTTTTGACCTGGTGAGTTCTTTTTTAAAATTAAAAAAAAAAATTAAAATGCTTTGCTTTCTCCAGGCTACCGCAGTCAGACATCGGCCCCAATACTTTCTTTTTTGATTGAGTTTATAGCCAACAAAAATCTTAGAGGATATATTTATAGGTTGTTCCTAGAGAAATAATTCCAAAATCATACAATACATTTGGCTGTGGGTGAGTGCGAAACAGGATGCCGTAGCTGGAGGCAGAAGGATGGATTTTAAATTAAAAGCTGGATATCTTCAGTAGAAAATGTTGCTCTTGATTAATCCAGACTAGTATCATGCTCTTTCAGAAAACTACCTTAAATCCAACTAGTGAAGTCTGGGCTTGGACCTGAGATCTTTTACATGTGGGTGGCATGTTTTGAAAGTCAGGGACTACATTGAATGGGGTGGTGGGGCTGTATCGCAGAAGTAGGTGGGGCAAGATTTTCAGAGGGTGCTGGAGGATAGCCAGATATACTACATTAAGTATCTTGATCATCAATATTGGGTGGTGTATTGCTCCTTAAAATAGAGGTTCCATTTAGTCTTGCCTTTACCAACTCAATGCTCTCTAGAACAATGCAATTTCTGGAAGTGTGAGCTACCGCGGTCATGGTGCTTCCAGGCAGTACTGGGCAAAGAAATGTCCCTGTATTTTTGCCCTCTACCACTTCTCATTCATTGAAATGAAGTTTGCTGCAGTACATGTTTCAGAGGAGAAGGTAATTTCAGAGAAATTCTCATGGGAAGAGAGTAGACTTCTACTTTGCAACAATTTGACTAACAAATGTGCATGAATGTCCTCACCACCATTGCCCAGTCTTCTCACCAATGGTCTGCAGCCTCTGAGGCTTCCTATACTTCAACTGAATCACAAGGGTAGGTGTCAGAACGGACCTCCTCCCAGGTGGCCTTTTAGTAATTGCTTTCCTCTTAAGGAGGGTTGATTGAAGAGCCCTTGTCTGAAAAAGTTTGGAGAAGTTATCCATCCAAAACTGCTCGCAAATTTGCTGGAAAAATTGTAAGGCCCTTTACGCCACGCTCTAGTTCAAACACACCGAGTTAGGAAAGGTTGGTGTATCTGTTGTGACGAATCGTTTTTGATAGGCATTTCCAAGATTGATTTCATCTCCTTCTGCCATATTCCAGAGTACTTTATTGTGGTAGGAAACTCTTATCTATTGGAGGTGCTGAAACTTGCTGCTGTGTGCCCTGTTTTCATTTCATAAACCTCCAACAACCTTTCTCTGTGTTGGCTCTTTAAAAACATGTAAGGGCAAAAAAGTAGGCTTTTGTAAAGCTAAACTAATTGAAGTTCTGCCCATTTGAACTGATGGAACAGTGGGGGACTGGGAGAGTTGAAATGGAGATCCCAACCTTGTCTTCACTCTCTGTCATTGGAGCAAAAAAATGAAAAAGAAAAAGGAATCTGGGAATTGGAGTCAGTATATTTTGGGAGGTGCCAGACTGGAGAAAGTTGCTTTAGAAGAGGATCATAAGATTCCTTTTGTGGCATTCCCAAAGGCTATAACCACGTTTGACTGTTTCTCTTACATTTACAATGTTTTTTGCAGGTATGAAACCTTAGTAGGAACCATTGGGAAGAAATTCCTAAAAAAGAGAGACCGTCATGTGCTGCAAGATCCTACGGAGGATGAAAGCAGTGACAGAAGGCCCAGCAAAGTGAAGAAAGTATTTTTAAAACCCCAGGATTAATGTTGGATAATTTCTGTCTTCCTGAAGGAGCAGAAATTTGTAATGCCATTTATTTTTGTAAATCGCTGGGACTGTTCCTTTTTTTCAATATGTAATGGATGTTATACATCCGCTGTTCCCCATGCATGGACTTTGAGGAACACAAAAGCAGATGTAAGTAGATGCCAGTAAAAGTAGGGAAGTAGTTCCTTTTTAAGAAAGAGAATGGAAGAATTTGTTTATCTGGTTCGTCTTGAAAAATGCATTTTTAATTTCTGAAGAAGTTTTCACGTGCCTTAACATTATTTTTCTTGAGGAAAATTATAGCCCCCCGAAAAGAAGAGGGTACAAGCAGGGAAAGAAAATCCTACTTGCTGTAGCCTCTTTTCTGAAGAAATCCTTTTCTTTATTGGTTCCTCTAATGTATCAGCCAAATGGCCTGTTATAACTTACAAATAAATAATTATATTCCATTGCAGGTGATGTGTGTGTTTGTGTGTATTCCAAATAGAAGAGGCTCACTACACAAAATCAAGGATATATGTTATTTCCACAGTAGTCTCTCAATCAGTTTATTATAAACTAGGGTAGCTTTGATGGAAGACACGAGCGGGGAGGATTCTGGAATGGAGCTTCAAAGTTGCCGGGAGGGGGAGGAGAGGTCCCAGGGAAAGCACCTCCTCAGCCCCCAGCCAGAGTGTGGGAAAGTCAAGCGAATGAGACTGGCCACTCCCTAGAGCATCATGGTTATAGTTGCTGTTGTTGGAGATTAGAATTAGTCTGGTGAGATTCTGTCTATTAGGTGTAGGCTAATAAAGGAGCTGAACTGATCCTGGACTGTCTTGCTGCTGTTCTTGGGATGGACCTGACATCAATCGCTTTCCCTGGAACCTCTCTTCCCCCTCCCAGCAACCGTGAAGCTCCATTCCAGAATCCTCCCCACTCATGTCTTCTATCACAGTAGCAGAGAGAAACTCCATAAAGGGCCCGTTCAGTCTTCACCAACATGTTGTCCTCCAGATCTGCTAGGGCCACACCTCCGAGAACCACCCACTTCCCAGAGCACAGCAGGTTGTCCAATTAGGAATGTGCAAAATCAGTTGATTCAGGAAGAGGAAATTTCATTTCCATCCATATGATGCTGAACCTGCTGGAGCGTGCTCTTCCTGTAATGGAGTGTGGGGAAGACCTTGGGGGACTGGGCAAAGAGGCACTGCCAAGGTAACGGTCAGATAAGGGACAGCATAGCCCGCAGCTGGATAGTGGGCAGGGTAAGAGGCTCAGAAGAGATACTCTCTAGTTTCTCGGGGAGTAAAGGAGATGGGAGAAGTGATGTCAGCCCCACAGGGTAAACAATACAATACAAATACAAATACTTTAATGACCAAGGATAAAATATATACAAGGAATTTGTCTTCCGTGACGAACAGCAAAATCAACTGTGTTTGGATAACAACAGAAAATTAATAAACAGTAACAATAACACTGCCCAGTAAAATAACTTTCCAAAAAGAAGAAGCCACTGTCCAGTACATATCAAATCATATAGTATTTAGCAGAGCAATGGCACGGGAAAAAACTATTCTGATGTCTAGATGTTTTAACATATGGAGCTCTATAGCACTGTCCTGAAGGAAGAAGTTGGAAAAGATGATATCCAGGATGAGAAAAGTCTGCAGATATCCTGTCTGCCCTCCTTTTGACCCTCACAGTGTATAGTTCTTCTATAGAAGGCAGGCGGGTTGCAAGTATCCTCTCTGCAGACTTAACTATCTGTTGGAGTCTGAGTCTGTCCTGTTTGGTTGCGGAATCAAACCAGACAGTTATAGAGGAGCAGATAACAGACTCAATGATTCCCCTGTAAAACTGTAACCAGATAGGAATCACGACCAGATGAGCTAATTCTACTTTATTGTAATCTCTATGTTGACAAAATCTTGCAAGTCACCTTCTTGTGAGATGGGCAGTGTCCAAATTTGAAATAAATATAAATAAATAAAAAGTCTGAAAGTACAATCCTCCCCCCCATCTCCTTTATCACCCAAAAAACTAGGGAGGGTCTTTTCTGAGCCTCGTGCCCTACCCACTATCCAGCTGTGGGCTATGCTGTCTCTTATCTGACTATTCCATTGGCAGCGCTTCTTCGCCCAGTCTCCCAAGGTCTTTCCCACATCCCATAACAATTCCAGAGCAAGCTAGGAATTTCTAGAAGTAAATTCTCCAGAGAGCCATTCAAGGTGTTGGGGGGGGGGCAGAGTCAAACTGCCCAATTTTATCTGGACCAATACGTTCTTTTCCTGAAACAACAAATTTTGTGTGTTCCTTTCTACAAGTAATCACATCGGGAGTCTTTTTCCTTAACTTTAGTTCTGTTCTCCCTTCGTTTCTTATACTTCTTTTCTCTCTTTTTTTCCTTTTTGTTCAATTTGTCTTTTATTGTATGGAAGAACTCTTAATAAACACAAATAAGGAAAAGGGAATCTTACCTAAGAATTTATTCATCTTTCCCTTGTCTTTAAGTTAAACTACAGTTTATATTAATTTTTCCCACAACATTGCAGTCCATTTGTAAACCATTGGCAGTCCCCAGAACAGAGGCTTAGAACTAGCACAGTTAAGCAATTTGTGAATTCAGTTGCATTGTTGTCAACAGATATGTATATCGTTGCTTTTAAAAAATGCTAGATTTCAGATAACCGTGCTGTCAAAATCAAATAAAATATTGGACAGCTCATTGGAATAAGGCATGAAACACTGTTATATGAAATACATGTAGCAAAATGTCCAGTCTTTTATTCATGTGACATATGGATGGAATTTTTCTGCTAGAAGGAAGATGGATGACACAGGCAAAGACTAAGACTCTAACCCAAGAAGGAAAATCTTATTACTGGCAGAATTTACACGTTATCTTTTTGAGTTTTCCAGAGCTAATTAAGGGCAACAGAATCTATTGCTCAAAATCTGACCATAGAGTGTTCCCAATGGCCAATTAAAGTTAATGATTATAGGACATAATTGTCTCCTAGCCCCCTCCCCCAAAGTTTTTCAATTAGGACATGACTTATTGATGGCTATTGCTGGCAAACACATGGACTGAATTGCCTTTTCTTACTCATGGCTGGGGGAATAGATTTTTCTTCCAAATCATGCTTTTTGAAGGAAGGGGAGGGAAAGCTGGGATTGGCAAGGCACAGTAAACAGGTATAATGTCTAATAGCCTTTGGTAGCCCCATCCTCTATGAAATGGTCCAGTCCTCTTTTAAAACCCTGATTTGTCAGCTGTTAATCCTGTTGAATGTTTTGAATTCATTGGAAGGCCTAACGAAATAAAAATGGGAATCTGAGTGATGGCAAGTGGAAGAGAGTTGCTCAGATCCTAAGTTGTTGTTGTTATTTTCTTATTAATAACACTACTGTTATTAATTCCATGCTGAATTCCAAAGCAGCCTGATTGTCAAGTGTGTGAGTATCCACTCTTAGTGTCTTGCTAAATGAGTTTGTATTGGGATTAGGACTTTCATACTGAGCAACTTTTTCTTCTTTTAAGATAAATACTGGTAATGACAACTCAGATACTCCCAGATTTTTGTATTTCAATCCTATGGAAGTTTTGAAATGCTCTATCTATCTATCTATCTATCTATCTATCTATCTATCTATCTATCTATCTATCTATCTATCTATCTA